TAGTGCCCTCAGCACCATGGTGTGTTTGTTTGGTAGTGCCACTAGAGGCACCATATGTGTTTGGTAGTGCCACTAGTACCATAATAACACTAGAGGCACCATGGTGTTTGGTAATAACACTAGAGGCACCATGGTGTTTAGTAACTAGTAGGCACCATGGTTTGCCACTGAGGCACCATGGTGTTTGGTAGTGCCACTAGAGGCACCATGGTGTTTGGTAGTGCCACTAGAGGCACCATCGTGTTTGGTAATAACACTAGAGGCACCATGGTGTTTGGTAGTGCCACTAGAGGCACCATGGTGTTTGGTAGTGCCACTAGAGGCACCATGGTGTTTGGTGGTGCCACTAGAGGCACCATCTTGTTTGGTAATAACACTAGAGGCACCATTTTGTTTGGTAGTGCTGTTTGGTGGTAATAACCCCAGAGGCACCATGGTGTTTGGTAATAACCCTAGAGGAATCACTGTTTCAGGTGGAGCCCCTAGCAGCGCAATTTTCTGTGGTAGTGCCCTCAGTAACATCATCGTGTCTGTAAGCACCCCGAAACACACCATTGTGTTTGGAAGTCCCTGTCCAGAACAGGAACCAGACAAGAGGAGGGTTCATTATCTCGCCATGTCATATTGTGACTATGGATGGTTTCTAATTGTATTCTGTAAGTAAGTTTGAAGATGAAGGCAATTAACTTCAAGTCTTGACGCTCTTGCACATTGAGGAGCACAAGACAGCCGTGAAATGGTTTTGTCCTATCCCAGGCCAGACAGTAGGCTATTCTAACTCAAGTGACAGGTCCAAGTGACAGATTATAATGGAGTTTTTCACCATCAGAAGAGCTTATCTGCCTTCCTCCAAGGGGCAATAAAGCCTGTGTCCACAGGGGGGCAGTCTTATCAAGCTAATTAACGTCATTAAGACAATCGGACAGAGACCAAACGGCCATTCAGTGGTACGCCTAGTATACAAAATACAGCCTAGTCAATTGTTAACCACTTTGTCTGAGACTATGGAATCCACGGGCCTCCTTGGCAGTTATTGCACTGATAAATGGTAATTAAACCAAGGCATAATCAAGCCTTAATGCTTTAATATTTTCTTGAAGAAAGGGAATTATTTTCTTCAATAAGCAACACAACGGGGTGCCCTCTTATCAAAATAGAAATCAGCATTCACAGAACCCCACTGTAACCTATAACAGAGCTCAGCCTGCATGAATTAAGGATAAATAATACAGAGGCTAGGCTATAATAGATATTTCCCAGACATGCCGTTTTATCTCCCTGAATATTATAGTCCAAACCGGATATAAAACATGCTTTTTTATCAGAAGCATGCTACAGTTGAAAAACAGTTTCTTCTGCTTGAAATCCTTTGAAACTGCTGCTACAATAATGTGATATTTGTATATTTGTGTCTTTCATGTAATATACGTAATAAACAATCAACAAATAAATAATGATAAACATATACACTACAGATCTGACATTTAAAAAAAACAATATCTAGGAAAGATGACTTCAATTTTCTTGTTACCAAAACAGCAAGATATGACAACCTTTCAAAAATTTCTTCTGATAATTCTTCTTATGCCTTATTCAATTATAAAAACATGAATTTGAAATGTTACTTGTGTCATTCAAAGTATGATTTTTCAAACTGTAAATGCATATCTTCATTAAAATTAATGGAAAACTAAATTTGAGACTTGCTGTATCATTTCCATATCATTCAAAAGATAACAGTATTTTTCAAATTCCTTACAGTTACAAACAAATAAGAATAAAATCTCTCCTTCTCATCCAAAAATTGTTTGCCGAGAATCAAACACACAATAATCCAACACTAAGGGACCGTTCATCATTCATGGCTAGGCAGGGGGTGATGATGATTTTTATGGAGAAGCATGTACAATGTGAATGGAAACAACAACAATCACCCCCCACCCCCCAATAATAATAATAATAATTTGCGTACAAAGTAAGAGACCCCCCTGCATGTCATGTACAAAATCAATGATCCCTTCCCCTTCCCATAATTTTTAAGCATAATTTTTAATATTATCATGTACAAAATTGATTTCCCCAGTGCATGCATACAAAATTGATGACCCCCTACCTCCCCAGAACAAAATGGGTGACCCCCCATTAAAATCATCATCACCCCCCACTAGCCATATATTATGAACGGTCACTAAGCCCTAGCAAAGGAAATATTAAAAAATCAGAATAAACTAATTACTGACATCTACCCTGAATAAAATCTACCATGAGTCTTTAAAAACAAATTCTAGGGTAATTTAAAAAGAAATCCCTTTCCATATCCTCACATGAGTAAAAAAGAACAACTGATTTATTTGGTGGGGCTTAAACCTATTTTTGTGTTCAAAAGAAGTCTATTTCTTCAATGACAGAGAGTATTGCTGCCTCCGTCACCATCCAGTCACCAATTACAGTCAGCAGATCCTCCATGGGAGCACCAAATGAGGGTCCAACTACGATGTCTGTCACTTGCCTCGTGATAGTTTGTATTCTTCCAAAACAATAAAAAACAAACAATCTTTATGGCCTCAAGTGGCATTTTTTACATCCCACTTAATCAATTTTCAGGTCTTATTACGTCCTGATGAAAGACCAGAAACACCCTAATAAGGGTACTTCCACACCAGAACACTATCTTTGATAACAAAATAAAGTAAGGCTTTGGTTTTCTGGTAAATTTCAAACTTTCCCAGGGGTGGATAGGAATTAAAACACCACTGTTGGATTTAGTTGTCATTGTCAATTCATGAAATCAAATTTGGACTAGAAAAAGTCTGTGTTATGAAATTCAACATGGTTAGTTTTAAGGTGTATGGGACATCAAACAAGTGATAGTAGGGGTTGCTGTTGGGGTGAGTTTGGAGTTGCTGTTGGGGTGAGTTTGGAGTTGCTGTTGGGGTGAGTTTGGAGTTGCTGTTGGGGTGAGTTTGGAGTTGCTGTTGGGGTGAGTTTGGAGTTGCTGTTGGGGATGGGTATTTGGAGTTGCTGTTGGGGATGGGTATGGAGTTGCTGTTGGGGTGAGTTTGGAGTTGCTGTTGGGGTGGAGTTGCTGTTGCTGGGGGGTGGGTTTGGAGTTGCTGTTGGGGATGGGGCCTGGAGTTGCTGTTGGGGATGGGTATGGAGTTGCTGTTGGGGGATGGGTATGGAGTTGCTGTTGGGGGATGGGTTTGGAGTTGCTGTTGGGGATGGGCCTAGAGTTGCTGTTGGGGGATGGGTATGCTTGGAGTTGCTGTTGGGGATGGGGCCTGGAGTTTGCTGCTGGGGATGGGGCCTGGAGTTGCTGTTGGGGATGGGGCCTAGAGTTGCTGTTGGGGATGGGTATGGAGTTGCTGTTGGGTGAGTTGCTGGGGGATGCCTAGAATTGCTGTTGGGGATGGGGCCTAGGAGTTGCTGTTAGGGATGGGTATGGAGTTGCTGTTGGGGATGGGTATGGAGTTGCTGTTGGGGATGGGGCCTGGAGTTGCTGTTGGGGATTGGGCCCTAGAGTTGCTGTTAGGGATGGGGCCTAGAGTTGCTGTTGGGGATGGGTATGGAGTTGCTGTTGGGGATGGGGCCTGGAGTTGCTGTTGGGGATGGGGCCTAGGAGTTGCTGTTGGGGATGGGGCCTAGAGTTGCTGCTGGGGATGGGGCCCTGAGTTGCTGTTGAGGGATGGGGCCTAGAGTTGCTGCTGGGGATGGGGCCTAGAGTTGCTGCTGGGGGTGGGTTGCTGGGGATGGGGCCTAGAGTTGCTGTTGGGGATGGGGCCCTAGAGTTGCTGTTGGGGATGGGGCCCTGTGGATGGGGGTTGCTGCTGCTGTTTGGGTGAGTGGGTTGCTGTTGGGGATGGGTATGGAGTTGCTGGGGATGGGGCCTAGAGTTGCTGTTCTGGGGATGGGGCCTAGAGTTGCTGTTGGGGATGGGGCCTAGAGTTGCTGTTAGGGATGGGAGCCTAGAGTTGCTGTTGGGGATGGGGGCCTAGAGTTGCTGCTGGGGATGGGGCCCTAGGAGTTGCTGTTGGGGATTGGGCCTAGAGTTGCTGTTAGGGATGGGGCCTAGAGTTGCTGTTGGGGATGGGGCCTAGAGTTGCTGCTGGTGATGGGTATGGAGTTGCTGCTGTTGATGGGTATGGAGTTGCTGTTGGGGATGGGGCCTAGAGTTGCTGTTGGGGATGGGAGCCTAGAGAGTTTGCTGCTGGGGATGGGGCCTAGAGTTGCTGCTGGGGATGGGGCCTAGAGTTGCTGTTGGGGATGGGGCCTAGAGTTGCTGTTGGGGATGGGGCCTAGAGTTGCTGCTGGGGATGGGGCCTAGAGTTGCTGTTCGGGATTTGGCTTGGAGTTGCTGCTGGGGATGGGGCCTAGAGTTGCTGTTCGGGATTTGGCTTGGAGTTGCTGCTGGGGATGGGGCCTAGAGTTGCTGCTGGGGATGGGGCCTAGAGTTGCTGTTGGGTATGGGGCCTAGGGTTGCTGTTCAGGATTTGGCTAGGAGTTGCTGCTGGGTGTGAGGTCTGAGGCTGCTGTTGGGGATGGGTTTTTATCTGGTAGCTGCTGCAGTTAGGGTTTTGAATTAAAGTGATGGTTACTGTTAGGATTGAGGTTGTAGTTGTTGATGTGGTTGTTGATGTAGTTGTTGATGTGATGATGCTTCAGCTTGTCATTACCAAGTGAAACAAGCAGCTGGCTCCTTAAGGATGCCTCTTTACAGTGTCCACTGCTGCAAGTGTCAGCACGACCACAACCAGAGACCCAGACACCTATCAGTATACTGTCTCACCACTGGTCATGTCCAGGATGACCCAAAGATGCTTAGTACCAGGCTATGATGATGGCGATGATGACATTGTAAATGAGAGAGCATAGTCTTTCCCAAAACACCATGAACTTATCACTAAGAGAGTATACTGCCAAATACAACATGATATAAAGCATCATGAAGTTGCCCTTGAATCATGGAGATGATGGTGATGATGAATCTTGCTGATGCTTACCTTGCAGTCCGAAGCTGTCACCAGGGGGAGCTGTGTGAGTCTGAAACATAAGTGGGAAATTAATAATACTTACAACAGTTATCATATTAATAATGATAATAATAATAATAGTAACTAATTCAAAATCAACAATATTTTTGTTCTAGTTGTAATGACAGTTCAACTACTAATCATGACAATGATTTACTATTACTACTACTGCTACTACTACTGCTGCTAGAACTACTACAACTACTCGTATTACTGCCGCTACTACTACAACTACTACTACCATTGCTGCTACTACTACTGCTGCAACATTTACTACCACTGCTACTCCAGCTATTACTACTACTACTACTACTACTGCTTCTGCAACAACTACTACCACTGCTACTACTACTGCAGTTATTACTATTACTACCATTGCTACTACTACTACCACTACTACTACCACTATTGCTACTACTACTACTACTACTACTACAAGTAATACAACTGCTACAACTATTGCCGTTGCTACTACTACTACTGCTGCTACAACAACTAACACAGCTACTACCACTGCTGCTACAACTACTACCACAGCTATTATTACTACAGCTACTACTACCACTATTATGATAAATCCGAAACAAACAAAAACAATTAAATAATGTGGAGACTCAAAAGAGTAATTCATATTCAACTGATATATTCATATATCAAGAAATTGTAAAACTTCACATTCTTTGAATATAGGATCATACCAGTTCCATTGCATGCTAGTCACTGATAACATCCATATGCATGTCCACAATAAATAATGAAAAACCCTAGGACAGCAACATGTCTACTGACAAGTCGACCCAGGAATCTTCCATTTCTGATCAACAAATAAATGATGAGGTTTTTTTAACTTCTAAATCTCTCCATGCAACGTGTCATATTTCTCTATTACGCTTCCAAAATCAAAATATAGCTGTTGAAATTATGCCTATCGTGAGGAAATTATGCCTACCAAAAGACAATTTTTTCTGTCAGATTGTTTGGTTTTAGATGCGAGAAGATAAGAACCAGTTAAGATCAAAGTCATCTACTGGTGCTTCTTGTGAGAGGAAATTCCCCATAATTTATGTATCTGGTGGAGCATATAGGGACGAAGATAACGCCATTACAATCATCAAAACAAAACTTGTCCTTGGCTTTGTTGCTGCTGGAGCCCTCTATCTGGCAGGAAATTATATTTTTTGTCCATTAAGACCTCCTGTTGCAGATTTGGGTTTTAATTGACTTAAGGTGCCATCATCATGCGAGGACGATGCCGCATGTGTCCGTGACAGACGTACAATCGCAACATACGATGGTTCGCCACGTTCGTAGTCAACTTGTGGTTTTGTTGCAACTTTGGCCACAAGAGACAAAGAAAGAAGTTCAAAACGCATTCCCCGACCCCTACATGGTGGCTTTTGGTTAGATTCTTCTTTTCATTTTCTTGTCATTTGTGGGTGCTTAATGGTGATCCATATCTGCTAAGAGCAAGACTCTGTCTGCTTCGGTATGTGACATGCGCCTTTCCTCCCCATTAGCATCTATCACTTTTCGGGATACTTGGACCGACACTTTCAATGGCAAAAATCCATAGTAGCCCCCCAAGAAAATGGTCTCTGATGAAAGGAAATAAAGGCGCCATCTGGTGCAGGAAATGGGATGGAGGCACAGACTTTCTACGACGCAAACAACAATTGTCAAATTCGCAATTGTTGGCCCTATTTCCATTAGGCATTTGTTAAGGACTCCTCTTCCAGAAGTCGCTATCTTTTCAATGTGTCACACGTTTCAATCTTGACTGTTGCCGCTTTTTATGTCTGTGCGTTTCTGTATTATGATAAGAATGCTCAGCATCAAGTTTGGACAAATGAAATTAGACTACCTTCAAACATTAGCAAGCAAAGAATCACAACATCCCCTAGCCCAGCTACAAACAGACATGGCCCCCACTCCATCATAGCTTGCTGTCCTCTCACCAAGCACCCCATCCTATAACTACCATCTTAAAACCAAGCTTACAAAAGTTTGAGCCAATAAATGTCACTGAGTGGATCATGTCAGTTCAAGGTGGTTCCAATCTTCAGAGCAGAAACCGATTCCAAAGTTCCTGATTTCTGACTGTCCTGACAATCCCCATCAGTAGAAGACAGTTAAGAATATATCTACTACATAACGCACAATTACCAGTGTTATTACTGCATCTGTCACAAGAAAGAGACTCATGACAGACAAAAAAGGTTCCTGTTTTTAAGATGTAATAAAATGTCTTCAATAATCACATGACTTCGCAATGTGTCTTGAAGAAGTTTCGGAACTATGTTCCTTATTTCCTCACAGCTATGTTGGAGATTTTGATTTTTTCACGAGCAGCCATGTTTGTCATATTCGCATTATTATAAAAGGAATTCCCTGACATCTGCAGTTCTGCAGAACAGCTGCGCATGATGTGTGATCGAGAATACTTTCCACCAACACCAGTGTCCATGGGACCATAAATTCAATATTTTCAACACACCATAAGCAAAATTCCCACCGTAAGTTTAAAAATTAAAGAAAATGCATTCTTGAAAACAGACATGAAGCAGACATTACAACCAGGTGTATATATTAACAGACATACACATTGAGACAGTTGGAATCGATAATACCAGTACTGGAAAAAACTCTTGAAAAACAACTTTCAAGATCTTTTGAAAAAGACGACATATTTTCATAATTTAATTTTTTACACCTCATTGAAGAACAGATTCATGATACCTTTACTGTTCAAACAAACAGTTCAAACCCTGTATTTAGATATTCAAATGACGTGTAAAAATACAGATTAATGTTATCTTTCTTAAGAAAGGAATATATCAATCTTTATCCTTTTAGCTTCAGCCTAAACACATTACTAAAAACATCAGGGAAAGAGGTTCAATATGAAGTTCTCACTCATAATGTTTTGACTTAAACAGGTATGACATAAAATCAACTCCACATTTAAATACTTCACAAAAACTAAGGAGAGAAGAATTGAGTTAATGCATATCTCTTGAACGTCCCTTGTACTAATTGTATTAATCAGAGTAGAGGTGTAACTAAGCGTGCTTGATCTAGCATCTTAGTTAAGATGATTACATCATTCAAGACATTACAAGTGATTGGCACAAATGCTCTGGAACAATTACCCATAGCGAACCTTACAGACAACTCTCTTGCAAACATAATGGAACTCTAGGTCATCGGGAGTTTTAGTTAAAAGCTTTATTTCTGTATGAAGAACATTAGCCTACAAATAAAGATTCTGTCAGTCAGACCAAAATGGACCACAATCAATGATTTTCCACCATTAATTCCAGATTTCTTTTGGTCTTTACTAATGGATGCAAGCTGGTTGAAGACTGTACACGTTTCCATGCCATTGCAAACAATCGGCAGCCCAAAAAGAAATTCCAGCCACCATGAAAATGAGTCTTGGAAGTTCTAAAGCAAATTTTCAGGGAATTATTCCACTATTTAGGTATTATAGTCGAATCAGAGATTGAGTAGCCAGAAGACTTCACACAAATAACTTGGAGAAGTCCGAACTATTCTCTATTCCAGACGACTTCCTGATTCTATGTGAATAGTACCGCTACATGTAAACCCCCCTTTTTACACTAAGCCCCCAATTGTTCGAGCCAAAAATGAGTAAAAGAGTTTTCAAATTTGCTTGGTGAACCCCCATGGCCTATTATTAAAGGGTGAAAATGAGTTCTTTGAAGTCGGCCATTTGCCCAGTTTGACAGAAGCTCAGAGAGAGATTAGTATTGTATGCATAAGCAACCAAAGGACATAAAACCCTAAACTTGACAATTCTTCTAAGGAACACTCATTATCTAGGCAAGAATGCACACTTCTGCTAATGAAGGACACATGTTTACAATGAGATGGCAGCAGGAGAGGTTTACCCTGCAAGAGAACTTGGGCAAAATGCATTGTAATAGATCATTTCCTGTGTTTCTGGGAACTAACCTGTTCCATATGGAAACTATAGGTTGCTTACTTTCTCACTACAGCTACATTTTTTTACTAGCTCCGGGAGATTTATTCATCCCAAAGGAAGCTAATTATACAAAACTTTTAAAACCGCAAAAACTATTGAGGAGGAAGTCAAAGGTCGCACTTTGAAAACTTCAGAAAATTTGGGGTCCATTAGAAAAACTATAATGATCTGGTTAATAACTTGATGAAGTTGGGATGATGTTTTCCTGTCGAGTTTATGTTGATTGTCGTGTTGATTGTTTGTTAAAATTTCAGATAATTTTCATTTATGTTTTGGTTTTAAGTTGAGTGTTTCCATTTTGGTTTTAGTTGTAGTGAGATTGAGGGCTTGATAAACATCATAAAAAAATTGCACAGAAGGGTCATCCATTGAGTTGGACACTTACAATCACAAAGTGCTGAAACACTCAGTCAAATACCTATCTGGCCACCCATTCACTCAACCACTCACTCACTCAGTGACTCATCCACCCTCTCATACACTCATATCTACCAACACTCATTCAACCATCCAACCACTCACCCATGAAGATCCGGGTTAGAATATTGATCTTCAGTAACCCATGCTTGTCGTAAGAGGTGACTAAAGGGATCGGGTGGTCAGGCTCACTGACTTGGTTGACACATGTTATCGGTTCCCAATTGTACAGATCGATGCTTATGCTGTTGATCACTGGATTGTCTGGTCCAGACTTGATTATTTACAGACCGCCACCATATAGCTGGAATATTGCTGAGTGCGGCGTAAACTAAACTCACCAACTCTCACATTCACTAAACAAGGTTTTGACTGTTGTGAACAAAACATTACCTAAATTACTGTCAGATACTATTTAATAAAATACCCTCCTATTCTGCCCGTCTCACACAATGGTAATCTCACGTCCTCATCCTCAAGGACAGGAACAAGAAGAAGCTCGTCATCTTCACAGAATCACCAAAATAAACAATAACACTAGGAATATAGGGCAAGATTTCAAATGGATTTATAAATTTACGTAAATG